GCATTCGAATTTGACAGTATTTGAGTTTTGTTTTCTGTTTCAGGCTATTGCCACCTCATCATTTGCGTGCCTTAGCATGTCATACTGTTGTGTACCACTCTGCATATCAAACAGGAAGGAAGCAGTTTGTCTTTTTTATTTCTCATTGGTGATAAGAAAGAAAAAAAAACGGAACTCACAGGTTCTCTTACGAATTCGCCTGAGACGACTGAAAGGCGAAAACCACGTTCTTCTTTTTCTTCCCATTGCTCCTCTCCGAGATGCACCTAACGCAGTAATCTTATACTGCATAAAGAATTGGAAATAATGCTAGCTTTCTGCCCCACCCTCTTCCTTCCTGATTATACACTGCCTCCAGGATCGACCCAGTTTGACTACGCAAAAATGTAATATTATGACGTCATGTTATGTGACCTTCCGACATGTCACAATTTTTATGATCTGTGACATCATATGATGACGCCTTCACGTAATTATGATCGATTGCGTCACTCGTGTTGACGCCGCCAACGCGAGACGCCGCCGGAAGCCACCCGCGATCAATTTTCTCTTTTGATGAGGTATCCGAGACTTTCGCCTTAGTAAACTGTACGGCTGTCGTTCGGTGAAATTGCAGCTGCCGCTGGTGTTAGGGGGAATGAGCTTGCAGTAGTCAGGTGGGATAATTGGTCTCTTAATACTTAGTACGCCTTTGTACTACACTCGAATATGTAGCTGTCATTTCAACCCGAATATTTTATAGATTATACTAAGTGGTGGCTCAAGACTACACTTTACGTTTGCAAGCATGGCACTTGGTATCACTAAATGTGATCGCGCTACGTCCGAACAGTCAACGAATGAGTCTATTTGCAGCAACAATCGATGCCTCGCGATTACTGCCGTGCGAATGCTAACATTACGTCTCGATGCTGAACGGCAATCTATGGGCACCAGATGAGTTATCTGCGGAACAAGCCACAATTGTCATGTACAGTGTCGTAATGAATGCATGCTCAAGGCCTAGCGGGGTGCGCCAATAGACAAAAACGTCCACGTCGACAGTCGTTCGGCCTGTACTTTGCTCGATACCAAACTGACCCGGGCGAAGAAAAAAGAAACAGAGCTGACGAGATGGATGTTGAGGCTACAACAATCCGCCAGCAAATACCCAGACGATCTGAAACAACATAGAAGAGGCCGGCGTTTTACACGCGTGTCACATTGGCTTTTGTTGAGAGACGGCATTGAATTGAATTGACTTTATGTTTTCTGTTTATAACAAACAGGAAGCAGAAGCTAAAGGCCATGTGGCCTGAAAAAGGCTTCTTCTCCTACGACAGTTAGGAACGCAGGCTGTAGCACAAGTCAATACAATATATACTGTACGGACATATTCTACTGAATAGTCACGAAAATAAAAGAACATGTGTACCAATACGTGGAAAAGCGAAAATAAACACGTTATATCTGCAAAGAAACAACAAAAAAATTTACATAATACACTGATAGGTCATTTTGGCCCATTCAACAACTAAAATTTGCAATTAAGACACGGATATTAAAAAGACGTACACACAGCAGCTGTGTCAGACAAACTCAATATTGTATGAAATGAGCAATGTTTTAAATTATTCACTCGACGATTCCATAACTTCGTCGTGAAATTCATTTATTCTGTTGAGTAGTGAAGGTGCTTGGTAGCTTAAACTGCTTGTCATAATTTTTCTTATTTTTGGTGCTTTCATTTTAGCATTATACTTGAGACTTGAACAGTGCTTGTTCAGAACATCAGCCATGGTTTCAGGAATCACGCTGCATATGCATCTCTTTTTGTTTGTTTTTCGTACCACCACGGTTTCATTGCTTTAAGCTCTCAAATAGTGGAATCATCTGGCATATTTCTTATTTTCTGGCAGTTGCTTTCTCGCCGTGAAAACACATGTAATACTCAAAAGCTTTACGAAGGCAACGGATGATCACGGATATACCTAAAAGCAGTCAAGTGGCCGTACTGTTTAGCGCATGAACTCCAGATTTGCGTATAATGTGCTACACCAGTAGACAGTAGCAATGATCAAGGAACATTAAGCACCCAAGCTCTCAGTATATTAGCTCCTGGCCAATGCTGCTTTCAAACATCTTTCAGTCAGAAGAAATTCAACTCTCAGTCAAGTGAACATAACAGTGACAAAACGATCTTCCGTAGATCCCTCTCATGCACTATCTCGTATCAGCCTAGTAGACGACGCACGCACGCCTCGATCAAGTAGCCGCGAATGACACATGCTTTTGAAATGGGCTGGGTGCCTAGAACGACAAGTGCTTCACGATCTCGTTTACAACTTTTTTTTATTATACCTTAAATAGTGTGAATACAGCCGAAAAGGAAACCGTAAAGCAGTTTCAAGTGCAGCCGTGGCATTGGTTTGAGCGAGAGACGACGTGACGGTGTGTCTTGAAGCGGCGCCTTGTGGCTAAAAGCCGCACTAACACCCTTAGTCCGTGGCCTCCGCGATCGGCTGCCGGCGGCGCGCCGTTGCTCCGGCCGTCCCAATCGCCCGGAGTGAGCGTAAGTTGAAAAGGGGGCGTGGCCGCGTTTTTCGCCGCACCGCGGCGCGCGTAGCCTAAGGTCGCTAAGAAGAAAGTGAAGGAAACGGAGACTGACATGTAGAGAATGGGCATGATTAAGAAGTCCGCACTAGAGATCTACCGAACTTTTAAGCAGGAAATTGCCAAGGAAAGGATCTATGACAATACTCGGGGTAGTTCTCTACTGTTTAAGGCCAGGACGGGAGTACTGCGAACCAAGACATATCGGACCAAATATGAAGGGGTAGACACAGTATGCGTATGCAGTGCGTGTGGAGAGGAAGAAGAAACTGCCGAACACTTGATAATGTTCTGTAAATGGCTTCACCCTATAGTTCAGGATGGTGGCGCAGAGTTTTTCAAAGCACTGGGGTTTAGGGACAGGGAGGGCAAAATAGACTTCAAGCGGGTAGACCTAACTAGAAGGAGGTTATCTGATTGGTGGCTAAAGTAAAGGCACGAGTTAAAATTAAACCCTTCACTGCGAAGTACGAATCCTCAGCTTCATTATTTAAAGAAAAAAAAGATAAATGTAATGGTTAGTTCACTAAGTATTACGGCTAGGTGGCGTTAGCCGCCGCCCGATCTAAAGGGTACAGCCACATCCATCCATCCATTCATCCATCCATCCATCCATCCATCCATCCATCCATCCATCCATCCAGTTTTCTCTGGCTTTCCCTGGCGCGGGCGGGCGCAGAGGACGAAAACTCAGCCTTCGCAGCCTGTGTGAGACGTTTAATAAAAAAATTACAACCGCTCATCAATGCAGTAGATAGAAGTAGTTACGGGTGCCATTTAGCCGTTTAATTTTTGACGTAGACTAGGGCCGCTGTGAAGCGTAAGTGAATTCATTGCACATCAGTAGTTTTCATTTTTGTGGTGGTGGTGGTGGTAAAAACATTTTATTGAGCAGCCAAGGGGGCTGGAAAGGGACGTGGTCAGCCTCCTACGTCCAGGAGGCCGCGATCCTGCGCCGAATGCAGGGCTCGTTGCATCAGGGCGATTTGATGCTTTGCCGCCGAGCTGGTCAGCGCAGACTCTCACTGCTCAAGGTCACGCATTTTTAACGAAAGATAAGCCGTCTTGTTTTATTTCTGGAAAGCTTGTATTTGTTATTTTAGTACGTGAAAGAGCGCGTGATACAAAGAAAGAGCGCAGTGCCACTTTTTTTTGTGTACCAAAGATATCAATTTTTTTTGTTCGCATTCATTTAAGAGAAAAATTGTTAAGTGAAGTGTAATCTTTCACGGCGCGCAGGTGTTTTACAAAGCGTTGTCACAATCTAGTGTTGGGTAAGACAAACTTCCTGCAATGCTTACCGTTGAAGTTGCCTGGCTGGAACTGGGTCAATTTTTATTTTGAGGTTTAACGCGTCGACGCTGCATAGGCGATGAGGCACAGCGTAGTAGAGGGCTCCGGATTAATTGTGACCACCTGGTTATGGGCGCCGGCAGGATTTTACCTTGAGAGGGCAAATCTATTGTTGCGCGAAGGAAAAGGGAGAGGGCATGGGGGTAAAGTGTTAAAATGGTTTGGTGGGGGGAGGGGGGGAGCAAGTGCCTTTTTTTGCTCCCCCTCCCCTCGGCGCCCGGCAGCCGATCGTGGAGGCCACGCTTGGTCGCTTCCCATTGAATTCCGCTCCTTCGCCCAGGCACTGAAAAAATGACGCCTGCTGGTACAGCTCTTTTCCTCCGTGTGACCCCTCCCTGCGTAGCTTCCATCTCGCTCGCTGAGACAAAAGAAAAGAATAAGTACTTAAAGCGTGCAACAAATGCTTGTAACGGCGCTCGCACTTGCAGGATTCGAACATTTTTCACGACGATCTATTTGTGAGGCAGTAAACTCCAATACATTGTTCTATTATTGCTCAGGAAAGTGTTGCATGGCCCCTTTTATGCAGCCTAACAAAAATATTGAGTGGAGATCAACTACTACAATTTTATGGATGCTGCTATGCAATCAAACGACGTTTTATTCTGCGTTTGTATTGTCAAATACGGGCTTCGCTCATATCTTCTTTGAAGCTAGGCGCACAGTAAAGTATCAGGAAGCCAAAATCCTGAGTGCAGTACTAATTCGATGCGCTGCATGCGTAGCTCAGTGCGATCCCAGCCTTTTGCCCTCTAACATGTTAGCAGTTAGGGCCGTTCCACGCGCTTCCCGCACAGCCGCAACGCACGTGCCGGGACCCCTGCCGCACGCAAGCGGGGGACAAATAAGCCAATTGGCGGCGCTCTTTCACCCTCCGCAGCGTCGCCAATTGGCTTATTTGTCATCCGCTTGCGTGCGGTAGGGGTCCCGGCACGTGCGTTGCACCTGTGCGGGAAGCGCGTGGAACGGCCCTTAACGAATGACCATTCATAGTGGTGTATTGTGTCGGTAACCCTGTTGCTGTGCTCATATTTCTCTTCATAACCACTTCCGCATAAGATCACTCCCTCATTTTAATACGCACACAACCATATTTTGCGACTGTAACTGAAAGCAACATGGTTTTCTAATTAGCATTTCATGAGCCAGAATAGCCTGCCATTCAGTAGTCGTTGTTGTCCACCCTGCGTTTCTTGCTCGAGCTTGCCACACTGATTTCAGATGTCGTCGGGGAAGGCATTCGTGTCTCCTCCTCCTGCACTGTGAAGTAGTGGTCCATGTGTGGCTTGACAATGTCCCAAACACGCGACTGTTTCAGCAGGTCCGTGGCCGCGTCTATGTCGGGCGCCATCACTCGGTCCTTGTCCCAGGGTCTTGAAACAGAGAAGCCCAACTATGTAACCATTCTGGAACAAGTACTACAACTGTCTAAGGCAAACAATGATGACTGCCACATTAGAAAAGCATTTATATAGTTGTCCGAGTTCGCATTCCAGAAATACTACATCGTATAGGACACTCACACTGAATTGGGCACTCACTTGTATAGGTAGGTAAGTAAAAACTTCATTTTTTCTTTGTAAAGGAAAGGGGCATTGGGACAGAGATGAGGAGAGGTTGCTACGCTCGGTAGTCCTCCGCAACTCTCACTGCCCAAACCAGGATGGCCTCCTGGACGTCGGGTGCCAAGCTGCGCAAGGCAGCCTCCCACTGCTCCGCATTACTAGCTATTTTTCGTAGGGACGGTGGAGGGGGGTGCTTAGGGCACCCCCACATGATATGATTAAGATTTGCTTTCCGTGCGGAGCAATATTTACAAGAGGAGAACGGCAGGGGCGTAGCCGAAAATTTTTTTCCGGGGGGATTCATGCAGACACGACGGGGGGGGGGGGGGGCAGACATCAGCTTTTCTCTGTGACGTCACTATCGGTAAAAGTAAAAGTCCTCTAAGAATGATTGATTGCTATGTGGGGTCTAACGTCCCAAAACCACCATATGATTATGAAAGATGCCGTAGTGGAGGGATCCAAAAATTTAGACCACCTGGGGTTCTTTAACGTGCACCAAAATTTTATCACACGGTTCTACAGCATTTTCGCCTCCATCGAAAATGCAGCCGCTGCAGCCGGCATTCGATCCCGAGATCTGCGGGTTATAGCAGCCGAGTACCTCAGCCACTAGACTATACAGCGGCGGGGCAGTGGTTTAAGAAGTACAGTAAATACAGTAATACAGTAAACGACAGGTACAGTGACCGTTTGTAGCAACGGCCTCTTGTTGCACCATTGAATGGACTAGTCTTCGAAAACGCATCATTGCGATGACCCACTCGATCGAAGAAGACATCGTTAATCATTAATCTCTCTTAAGCGTAGATCGCATAGTGCTCATCGGGCCGAAGTGCGTTTCACAAGTCAAGGAGGGTTCCACTTACAACGAGGAATGAGAGGTATACGCAGCATGTTTTTGTAATTAATAATTACATTTTGGTTTTGCTTACTTTGCTGAGTGAATTTCTTACTGTCGATGTATGTGTCTTCATGCCTATGAGAATGGTTATTATATTATTCTCTATATATGTCAAGCCACCCTGACGCAGTGGTAGCTTTTAGTCAACAAGCATGCTTGCGATACGCAATAAGTAATTTTCTTTGTAAGATATGCTGCACGTTGGCAACATTATTTTGCACACGTTATTTCTGGGGCGGACTTTCAGTTGCACTGTGACTATTGATAGCAATGAAGTACTCCAATCGTAGAGGTTTTATCGTGCAATTTGTGAGGGCAAGGTAATTATTGATGAGAAATGTTCACCTGGCCTCAATCAAAAGTCCACGTGCGACCGGACTATACCTACTCACATAAAACTTTGGCGCTGCGCATATGCGCTAAATTACATACATACGCGCAAAAAACGCGGTATGTTCTCGTTTTTTCTTTTGTAGCTCTCTTCACTCGGCTCCCTGAAACGATAGTGTTGCGGCAAGATGACTTCCGTTGTTTCCAAGCGTGCAGCCGACTTTTCTCTTTACCAGAACAGATTCAGAACTGTACAGAATATTTCACCACGCAGCATATGTGCATTCATGTTTCCAGCACTTACACCAGCGTGAACAGGAGCAACCCCGAAGCACTCATAATCTTCAGTGATCGGTTCACCAGTGATGAAGGAATGAACTCTGGAGTTGCTGAGCATAATGCACCATAATCCATTTCTCAGAACGTGTGAATTCCGACTAGAACTGCCAGCACATGCAACACGAGTTTACTTACGCTCTACTGTGCACCGTCCATGCCTGTTGGTTGTCTGTTTCGGGCACTCTGATGCAAGTCGCTGGAATTTCACTACTGCCATCACCTCCTTCGCGTTCATTCCCGTTTGTGGTATTTCATCACGTGACAGAAACCACCAGCCTTCCGTATGCGCGCAATCACAAACGTGAGTCATCTCGCGCACAGAGTAAGATACTGGGTGAGTGCGACCTTACCAGCACCTGAAGGAAAGCGGAGGAAATGTATACTCGCCAATCTTTCCACCAGGCGAGAAACGTGCGCTAGTGTTTAAACCGGAACGTCACTAGTGAAGTCACCCCCTTGAAATACGCTGCCGACACGTATTGCTTGGTAGTTCGTGTCCTAGGTTGATCAGCGCCCTTCTATGAGACTCGATGGTCATGCCGAAACACCGTACGGTATAATGCTTGATGGTTATTACCCGAAAAGCAAAGCTGCTCCCAGTGCGCACTTGACCCCTGGCGAAAATGAGAATGCCGCTTGTCACAGGCAAGCAGCTTCATCGAAGTAACGTGCCAGTCGCCGGCGTGGAAGAACACTTTAGGCTTTCAATACTTCTGGACTTTTCTAGATTATTTAATAGATCACTTCAACGAGTGCTTTAAAATGCATTGGCACACCTTGAAGATGCTTTCTTCAATTTCGCCACAGAACATTCCCGAATCTGCCACTCTTCCCACTACCGAGAAGTGTACTGACGTGTATACTCGAACATTATCTCAACTTCAGCATTGCAAGGGGAGTTAGCAGTATAGGCTGCGAAATAGAAGCGAAAGAAGCGAGAAATGCTGAGCATGTCTGCGATGCAAGCGGTTGCCAATTGCCCAGAGGTATTCTTTCCAAACGTGCACCACCTTCTAAATACTCCGGCAACTTTGCCGGTGAGCACAGCTGAAGCATAATGCTTTTTCTCATCTCTGAGACGCCAAAAGTTGCACCTGAAAGCTACAACATACGAAAGATTGTTTGGCATCGCTCTCTGAACATCCACCGTGAAATACAAGTCCGTCCAAAAGACATTCTCTCTGTGCTTTGACGGGAACGTAGTCGGCTTCATCTGAATGTGTGTTTAATATCAACCATAAGCGCCTGCTCAAACAAGTACGAGAGTTAGCTAAAGTTATTTTTAGATTGAAATGTTCTGAACTACAATAAAAACATACTTAATAATCATCACTTGATAGGGTTTAACATCTGATGGGTGACTTCAATGCCAAGGTACGGAAGGAGCAGGCTGGAGACCAGGCAGTTGAAGATTATGGGATCGGTACTAAAAACGCCAGAGAGAGCTATTAGTATAATTGGCAGAACGCAATAATTCACAAATCATGAATACCTTCTACAGAAAACGAGGGAACCGTAAGTGTACATGGAGAAGCCTCAATGGCGAAAGCGAGAACGAAATAAACTTTATACTGAGTGCACACCCAGGCATCGTGCAGGATGTGGAAGTGCTTGGCAAGGTACGATGCAGTGACCAGAAAATGATGGTATGGTCTTGAATTCGCCTAGACGTGGAGAAGGAACGACAGAAACTGATACGCAAGAAGCCAATAGATGAGCTAGCACTGAGGGGGAAAGTACAGGAATTCAGTCTCACTTCAGAACAGGTACTCGGCTCTTAGCGAGAAAATCAGCCTCAGCGTTGACGCAATGAATGATAATCTGACTAGTATCATTACGGAGTGGGCAGTGGAAGTTGGAGGTACGGTACGACAGGACACTGGCAAGCTGTCTCAGGAGACGAAGAACCTCATTAAAAAGCGTCAAAGCATGAAGCCTCAAATACAACACACAAAATAGAATTAGCAGAACTTTCGAAGTTGATTAATAGGCGTAAGGCTCCCTATGTATAACATGGTATACATATAGTAGGTATAACATCAAGAAAATTGAACACGCTCTGAAGAACGGAGGAAGCGTCAAAGCAGTAAAGAGTAAACTTGGGATAAGCAAAAACCAGATGTTATGCACTAAGAAGCGAGGAAGGCAAAGTAACTGCCAATATGGATAGGATAGTTAAAATAACGGAGGAGTGTTACAGAGATCTGTATAGTAGCCGGGACAACCGTGACCTTGTTATAAGAACTAGCATGCGCAGATGGCATCCCACCAGTAATGATAGAAGAAGTCAGAAAAGCCTTGGAGGGAATGCAAAGAGGCAAAGATGCTGGTGAGGATTAGATAACATCAGATCTGCTAAAATACGGAGTACAGATTGTGTTAGAAGAACTAGCCACCCTGTTTACGAAGTGTCTCCTGAGGGGAAGAGTACCAGAATCTTGCAAGAATGCTAACATCATCTTGATACATAAGACGGGAGATGACAAGGACTTGAAGAATTACAGGCCGATCAGCTTGCTCTCCGTCGTATACAAGCTACTTAGAAAGGTAATTGCTCATAGAATTAAGACAACATTCGAATTCAATCAAACAATGGAACAAGAAGAATTTCGGGCAGTCTATACTCAACAATAGAGCTCATTCATACTATGGATCAGGTAATATACAAATGCTCAGAACACAGCCACCCACTATACATAGCTTTCATAGATTACGAGAAGGCGTTTGATTTAGGGGAAATATCAGCAGTCATGCGACCACTGCTGAATCGGGGCGTCGACTAAGCATATATAAACATCCTGAAAGAAATATACAGGGGATCAACTGCCACCATAGTGCTTCATAAAGAACGCGACAAAATATTAATCAAGAAGGGTGTAAGGCAGGGCGATACAATCTCCCCACTGCTATTTACCGTGTGCTTACAGGAGGTTTTCAGAGGCCTAGAATGAGAAGAATTAGTGAAGAAAGTTAATGGAGAGTACCTTAGTAACCTGCGCTTCGCCGATGAAATTGCATTTCTGGAAACTCAGGGGACGAAATACAACTCAGTATCACGGAGTTAGGCAAGAATAGCAGAAAGGTAGGTCTTAAAATTAATCTGCATAAAGCGAAAGTAATGTACAACAACCTCGGAAGAGAACAGCGCTTCGAAATAGGTAATATAGTGCACTTGAATTTGTAAAAGACTATGTCTACTTAGGACAGGTAATAACCGCGGAACCAAGCCACGAGACTGAAGTAACTAGAAGAATAAGAATAGGGGGGAGCACATTCGGCAAGCACTCTCAAATTATGACAGGTAGATTGCCACTATCCCTCAAGAGGAAGGTATATAACAGCTGTATCTTGCCGGTACTTACCGACGGAGCAGAAACCAGGAAACTTACAAAGAGGGTTCAGCTTAAATTGAGGACGACGCAGCGAGCAATGGAAAGAAAAATGGTAGGTGTAACCTTAAGAGACAAGAAGAGAGCAGAGTGGATTAGGGGAAAAACGGAGGTTAAGGATATCATAGTTGAAATAAAGAAGAGGAAATGGACATGGGCCGGGCATGTAGCGCGTAGACAGGATAACCGCTGGTCATTAAGGGTAACTAACTGGATTCCCAGAGAAGGGAAGCGGGTTAGGGGGAGACAGAAGGTTAGGTGGGCAGATGAGATTAAGAAGTTTGCGGGTATAAATTGGCAGCAGCAAGCACGGAACCAAGCTGACTGGCGGAACATGGGAGAGGCCTTTGTCCTGCAGTAGATGGAGTCAGGCTGCTGCTGCTGCTGCTGCTGCTGCTGCTGCTCCTGCTGCTGCTGATGATGATGATGATGATGATGATGATGTTTTGTGGCGCAAGGGCCATTTGATGGCCAAAGAGCGCCAGTTCGCGTTTCGATGGCGGTGAAACTCTAGTGGTCCATGTACTGTACGACATCAGTGCACGTTAATAACACCAGAAAATTTCCGGAGACCTTCTCTACGGCGTGCCTCATAATTGTATCCTGGCTTGGGTATGTAAGCCCAGAGAAATTTATTATTATTATTATTATTATTATTATTATTATTATTATTATTATTATTATTATTATTATTATTATTATTATTATTATTATTATTATTATTATTATTATTATTATTATTATTATTATTATTATACTCCTACTACGACTACTACTTTGCGTTAGTACAAACTGTGGAAGAGTATTGTTCATCACTCTCCACGGTAGTCCAGAGCTTATAGCAACCGACACTACTGATCCGGAGGTTACGGGATCGAATCCTCGCCGCGGCCGACCGAATTTCCACGGAGACCCTGTGCTAGAGGTCCGTGTATTAGATTTAGGTGCATACAACGAACCTTTAACTACAAATACACGTATTGTTTACAATATCCGACAAAAAAAGCACGTAGAATTTGAGCGGAAATCGCGACTGTTTTTCACTGGGGATTGGCAGGCGCGCTGCGGTTTTGTGGGCGGAGGCAAAATGTTTTCCTTAGGTTGCAGCTGAGTATAGCGGAGGTTTGGAGACAAGATCCATCAAACATCTAAAATACACCTTGTTCTATTTATCTTCTTACGGGTTGCAGTGAGACTAAAAAATTATTTTGGCAGTGCACATCGAAAAAATTAGCTCCCATCCTTAATACGCTCCAAGTAAACATGCTTTTCAAATTCGCCAGTTACAATATATGGACTAGTACGTGCAGTAAATTAACTTGCGGGAAGTTAATTACTGATGCGTTGGTATCAGTAGCAATGTCCAGATTTTTTGGGCAAATTCTTTTTTTTTTCCGTGACCTTTGGACATTTGTGGTGTACAAAAGAAGGGCAGTTACAATGCTTGTACGCTTCCCCCCCCCCCCGCCGCGCCTTTTTTAAATTCCTGCAACCGCTGAAAAATGGGACGCATTGTTCTTTTGTGAATCAAAATCCCCCTAACTGAAATGAAAATGTCTTTGATTTTCCGGATCTCTCAATGCCGGAAGGGCACTCTTTAGGACGTATCTTCGCTGTAGAGTTGTTAGTGTACAGCAAGATCCTCTCTACGTAATTCAAGTTAAGGTGGCAAATATTCTTTTTGCAACAGTATTTGTAGCAATTCACGCTTTGAGCAGCTACTCACTTAACAAACATACGGACTAGCTTGTAGACGGCCTCCAGGGGGGCAGTGGTCTTAAGTGGCCGCAGGAACTCGATGGCCTGGCACGCGCACAGCAGCTCGATGGCGATGATGCGTTCCACGTTCTGTACCACCTGGAGTGCCTTGCGCGCCGCAAAACCGCCCATGGACACATGGTCTTCGGTGCCAGCACTCGTAGGCACAGAGTCCACTGAGGCAGGGTGGCTAAGCGCCTTGTTCTCAGAGACTAGCGCGGCCGCCGTGCAGTGAGCGATCATGAAGCCCGAGTTGAGGCCACCGTCCGCGACCAGGAAGGCCGGCAGCTCGCTGTAGGCTGGGTTGATGAGCCTCTCGGTGCGCCGCTCGCTCATGCTACCCAACTCGTGCACGCCGATGGCCAGATAGTCCAGCGCCTTGGCCGGGTACTCGCCGTGAAAGTTGCCGCCAGAGATGATCTCTCCTCGTTCGCAGAACACCAGCTGACAGCGGCAGTTCAGGGTCGATCTTCCGCGATTGCTTTGTCGTAACCGCCCCAGCCAAGATTTTACTGCTCATTCGCAGTACTGTACTCTATGCACACGTGCAGTTGACCATTCACTGTGCTAGTGCCAGCAAAGCAGGCCGCATGCAGTCGCCTGCTGAGCATTTTTGTGCGTCGCGCATGGCCTTCATCAACTTTGCCCCACAACACCTTCGCATACGGTTGGATAAGCATGTCTCGGTATTGTGTACATCTGATACGGTACGAGTGCATGAGGCCCTTGCTCTTGAGGAGTCAGTAGTAGAGGTTGGACCTTTCGGCATAATGCTTCCCCGAGAATGCTCTCCTCTCCGCTCTCCTTCTCTCCACCATTCCGATGTCGTCGTCGACGGGAGAAGGGCGAGGGGAGCGGAGACCTTTCTTCGAGCCAGATATTTTAGCTGCCCTGAATAGCCGCTGCATTTTGTTCTAGACATGTAGTACAATTCTGGAGTAAATCTTGCGCTCTCTCCCCAACTTCGATCACAACAATGACATTTATGCTTCACTCTCAATGCACAGTTTACCCGTCTTGACTCTCCTTACCTGCCCATTTGCCCGGAGGCAAACGGAAAGGCTACGCCACGGATCTAGACCCAGTTTACCCGCTGTCATGTAAACATATCTTCGCGGCCTCAAAAGGATACGGGGTTGTCCGTGGCGCTGTTCATTTCAGTAGTGATGATGCCGCGGACAAAGTCGATAGTGTCATGGACAATGCCATGTACCTGCGGGCAACAACGCAGCGTGTAGGCATCCTGCACACGATGACAGAACCGGTGGCTTTCTGCAAAGCAAACACAGGCCAGTGTTCTAAACCCGTCCAGGCGTATGATGCAATCTATACAACGTGTCGTGTCAATAAGTCGGAGTTGTGGGAAAGAGGTGGTGGGAAAGAGAAGAAAGAACAAAATGCACTAATGAAAAGTAGAAAGGGGACAAGATAGGCGTGCCAAGACGGCAAAAACTTTTAAAGCGATATATTGTGCTCCTCTATAACCCATGTACTCTCTGTATTGCCTCCTTGCGGTTGCTGTTTCCCCTTGTTGACAACTGGGGTCACTGGGTATGTGCTTAATCTTGGCCAGATGGTTGGTGTGTACCACTGCTTGTGTACGAAGTGTAATAAAATATAAGACCACATTTTTATTACGGCGTAACGGTAATGTGACTTATCGGGAAGTGGAGTGCTAGCCAGTTGTGCAGCTCTCTCGAGTGCCCTTATAGGTAAAAGATAACACTATTTATGTATGTGCAGAAAATAACGAAGAGGAGAGGAAGGTGCTACTGCTTACTCCCTAGTTATCTTGCCCCATTATCCCTTGATTAGTGTTGCATGGGTATATGGCAAGACGATTGGCATCGAAGGAGTATTTAGCACTTTTTTAGCAAAAACTATCACACATCAACGGCTTTCGATAGCATGCTGAAATGTTCAAGCAAAGTGTTTTGGCCAATATTATTGTGATATTCTCACCAGCAATTTCAGAGGGAAATGTGTCGGAGTGGAGAAGGGCGCGCAGCCTCTTGGCGACGAGGCCTTGGCCCCAGTGTGGCCGAATCTTCTGAATGTCTGCAATGAAAAGAACGCAGTAAAAGTAGACCTGAATTGACAGTATACAATCTGAAGATATAATTTGAGTGCACAGAGGGTAAATTTGGCGCCTTAGCGTTATTAGCAAACAGTGTGGCCTCATAGCTTTTTGACGGTATACTTAGCGTCAGCGATTGCTAGATGCAATATTAAATATTCGTATAATATTCATTCCGTTACGAACCACATCACTACTCGCAGGTGTACTTTCTTGCAGATTAGTGAGCATGATGGGCTGATGCAGTTATTTCGAGTCAATGCAAAACTTACCGCTTTCAAACGCGCGGGTTGTTCCTTTGAGGACTTCCAATGTCAACGCCGCCACCACATCCGCTTGCTGGCTCAGTATGGTGGCGCGCTGCACGGCTGAAACCACAAAAGCGTCAGAATTATGCATTCGCATTACGCGCGCTTATGACTGCGATATATTGTAGACCAAGCACAGTTTTTATGCTCGCAGGCAGAAACTTTGAGCGTAGTTGTATCCCTGCATATTGTATTGTGATAAGATGAATACGTGCCACTGGAAATACTGCAAGATGCGCGGAAGAGGCAGCTGCAGGCATGCAGGAGCGCAGGCAGGATTTACATCGGGGGGGGGGGGGGGGGTAATTTTGGTAGCGGTTTGAAATGAAAAAGATTATAGACGCTAGAGCGCTGTATATGCTTGCGGGCAACTTTTTTTTCACAATGAAGGGGAAGCTATGGGGCCGGAGCTACCCCTAATGTACTCTTATGCAAAGTAGTCCCCTTTGGCGCTCGTTTCGTTCCGCTCTCGCTTGTGGGTGGTAATTCGCGAAATGACAACGTGCAATTTAAAGAAAAAAGGTAAAATAAAAGATCTAACTGGTCTGTGTTGCGGCCTGTCTCAAAGAGCTCGCCGTCCGAAATTGAGCTTTTTTTCTGCCCCGTAGAAAACACCGACGCGATTATGGGACTACATTCATCAGTGGTAGCACTCGCACAATCCAGCTGTGTCGTCTTTGCTTCATTGCCAACGAAAGTTGTCCTCGAGTATTGCTATAAACATCTGTGGTCTTACCTTCAGCACCAATAGATGTGATTAGTTGAGTGCCATTCAGAAGACAAAGACCCTGCGCAACAATGTTCATGTATTTAGCTCCTATAACGTTCACACCGTGTTGTTGTTATCACCACCACTACGCAATTCTAAGCACCATAAATATAGTCATACGTACTTCCTTCGGCTTGAGTGTAATCGGCTTCAGCTTGTGCGATTCTAGCACCTGCAAAAAGAACGGTGTTATCGATTAATACTTATACTACAGACAATACAAAACCTTAAAGCTCTCGTATTTCATCAAAGAACATTGTCCTATTACTGCATCTCGTATTACTACTGTGACTGGGAAGCAAGATTGGCCGCAACAACACTTCAGGTCAATTTCATCTAGTGAAGCAACTGATAATTGACGAAACCTGTGGTGTATTTATACTTCGAAGTATTTTTGTTGTGGTCTTTTTTTGGATATGCCGTACACGATGAGAATTCGTCTATTAACATTGCACTCCTCTGTCTTTCATCATTTCTGTATGTTGCATAGCATTACAGCTGTTCTTTTTACTCAGTCAAATAAGTTCCGAGTTGGATAAAGGGACAGTGGCCCCCGTTGTGCCCTGCCTATGTAGCTGTCAAAAGTGGGGAGCAATATACGCACCACTTTCGCCCACCTGCCCTTATCACTGCGGATGAGTCTACTGGTTAGCACACCTATGAATAAATTTAATACACGTTGAGAGGTAAATATAAATAAGATGTAAAAGTGAGAGATTCATATGGAGTTTGCTCCCTCGTAGATTTCATTGACTCAAAGCTATGAATAAACGCTGAGTTAAAATAATCTAGTTTATGGAGGAATTAAGTAATGTAGATATCGAAGTATCTTCATATACGAATGGCATATATTGTATTGGATACATTTATTCCGTTAGTATCTTGTCTGTATTTTTCATGTTAATCGTGCTGGAATTTTTTATCGTATATTGATAAAATCGCAAAGTATTTTTGCCCTGACCTGGTGACTATCAGGAGTTGGAATAGGAATGTGCCTTGAAGACCAAGCGTGTGTGTGGCATGCCCGTAACCAGAATTTTTTCCGGTGGGGAAGAGGGAAAGGGGGAGCGCTTGTTGAATACCTTGAAAAAACACCTACTTTCATCATATGTTCTCGGTAATACACCCCCTCTATACGAATATGGGGGGTTGAGCCCCCCCCCCCCCTCGGCAATGGGCCTGGTGCGTGAGAAACAGTGGTCTGAAACTGTGCATCTGCACATGTTACCCTCCAACTCTTGCCTCAACATGTCAACACCTATTTTAATGTACACAACTGACTTCACTAGCTCTTATGATTCATACATTTATATCTCTTATTGCTCATACATTTATATGTTATGCAAAATACTTTTGGTTTATGTATGGGCATCTACGCCAACGCATCGCATTTTATTGCGAGGTTATTCTGACTGTATGCGTGTCGCCCTTTCGCCAAAAGTAGTTTTTGCGCTAACGAAACCTGTTGACCATCACTATCATCCCTAATATAATGCAACGTCAGTTTACGCAAAAAAACACCGTATGTTCGAAATTCTCGGAGCCCTTCACTACGGCGTACCTCGTAATCGTATCGTGGTTTTGGTACGTAAAATGCTGATATTGTTGTGATAGCAATTATATGGGCACACTCTGCTGGATTTTGCCGCTGGTGTCGATGTCATACACCGTATATGTATATGTATCTATATATATGAAAACGCAACAAAGAAAAAAATTCAGAAAAAAGACTCCAATGCACGGAATCGAACGTGGGACTTCTGCGTCTTGAATGCGAGGCGTTAACCACGGAGCCACCGAACGGTGCTTGTTCAACGTTGAAATGGCAAGCTATTTATATCTACCACTTACTGCTGTTGGCGGTCATCTCAGGGGAAAACTATCGTGTTTTCAGCCTTATCAGCAAGATGGCGCAATGAGCGCGCGGCGGCTCTCATATCTCTCTCTCTCTCTCTCTCTCTCCCTGAAGCTTACTTTGGCCCGTGGAGACGAGGCGAGTGAACGATCTGTCGAGCGCCCTTATCTCCCAGTGGAGAGGATCATACGCTTGGCTGGCGTTGGTCTTGACTGGAACGATTCTGTTGTAGTTACGGGGCGCACAAAGGTCACTGCAATCGTTGCGCAGCCTCCGTTTGCGAAAAGAGCCACTCTTTTCAGACACAGCGAAGTGACAACTGAGACGCTTATTCGCGTTCATCGGTGTACCTGTGAGTACGTTTCGTGCTTAATTTGTGCGTGAGAAACGCGGGGCACGTTTTGATGCCGCCATTCTGCGCGTGACCTTCCAATTTGTTGCTGTCGCGTTCATTGCTTCGCCTTTGCGGCAAAGCTGTAACTTTTTTTTATTTTTATCAATATATTCTCACGCACGCTTCTCTTTGTAAAATCATGGGAACGGGGGGGGGGGGGGGGGTCCACCACTCGGCGTAGACCATGCCGGAATGTCCGGGAACTTTCCCGGTCGTTTTGGACCTTTAATAAGAGAACGCGCTCAACACCACTGATCAAGCTTATACTGAAACTAACGCGGGTACCAACGATAACGTTAGTAAATTCGATTCTGTGAGTATTAAAGTTGACGTGATTCACCAACGATCAGATTACTCGACGACCGACGATTGTGCTCGGTACTGTCGTTGCGTTGTGAACGTTACTTCTTTTTTCCGGGCACAGGATTGCTCAGTAGCGTGTTTCTACTGTACCTGCCCGAGTTGTCGTTCTGCGCCGTCACAACCGCGTGACATCGAATTCGCAATGCCAAATTAGCTGCAGTATATATATATATATATATATATATATATATATATATATATATATATATATATATATATATATATAATATATATATATATATATATATATATATATATATATATATATATATATATATTATATATATATATATTTATATATATATATATATATATATATATATATATATATAGGGAGAGAGAGAGAGAGAGAGAGAGAGAGATGCATCATCAGTGGTGTAATAGGCGGTAAACTTTCCGTTCATTTTTTCGTTTTTAATTTTGGGCTCAAAAAAGCAAATAAAGATCTACAAATAGCTGCCCCAGCCTCCCAAGTGCACGCGCGTGCCTGTGTGTGCGTGTGTGGGTGAGAGAGAGAGAGAGAAAACAATAGAACCAAGGCACTTGCCGCCCTCTCAAGAACATATTTCCGCCACTGCTCAGTCGACGCTTGGAGTGCTGTAAGAACGGACATCGAAAGCGCGCATAATCGAAGAGCGTGAGGATTTCCTACTCACGTATTGTGCGTCGCCCCAGCCTGTCTCGGGGCTCCACATCTTTCCCTCGCCGATCAAGCCGAGTGCCAGGTGAGCCAAGGGCGCTAGGTCACCGCTGGCGCCAACAGTGCCTTGCTCAGGCACCCACGAAAGACAGGAGGCTGCATCGCAGGTGAACACAACAAATACATTCGCTTCATGCATGCGCGCATCATCGGAGTTTCATTATAAACACGCTGCGGTATAATGCAACCTCATTGTAGCATATACCTTGGTAAGTCGGTGTGACAGACCATGTGCTTTACGAAAAAGCGCTCGCAAAACAAGAATTGGCCCTGAACCATTATTAATATGGCTGCAGTATTCTAAGTCTACGCATAATGCATACGACAGCATTTATACGACCTGTATATAGGTTGCCGTATAGTACTTGCTAGCGCATAAGATTTTTTTTTCTGCGCCATACAGAAGTAATGTAAAAAGCTGCGTAGTCATTCCTGTAAGTCGTTGAATGCATTACTCACGTTGCTGTTCTGGTGTTGTGGTGCTCATGTTACGTATGACTTGCCAGCAAGAAAACCAGACCGACTGGTACAGCTGCTTGCCGAGGTATCCCGCGCTTCTCTCTTAATGTAGGCTAACCACCTTACTAAGGGCCAAATAATGCTCAATTTTTCCCAATGCAAGTTAAACTACGAAGATATGGCTGAGATTGTATTGATGGGGGTACCACGTTACTTCACATTTGCCTGAAAAGTGTGTCAAGTGGGAATTTTCGGCTCATTGGGCAAATAAAATTGACTGACGAGGTACCACGTAATACACGGCGGGAGGGGGCAGTTAAAAATGGTGCATGAAATTGTTACCTGAGGTATACGCTTAGGGTATGGCGCCGAAAAAAAAATAGACTATTTTGGGTTTCAATGCCACCATGTTGGGCTACAAACCTTTGTGTTTCGCATCTTCAATAAATAAACGACCTGTATGATGGTAGACGCAAATTCATGAAAATGGTTGGGCTGATGCATACGACGTTTCACGGCCTTATTAATTCACGTCTCAATATACAGAAACAAAAAAAAACACTGACTTATAGCCAAAAATAGCGGCACTCATAAATCGTAAGTAAAATAGTCTGTATCGCGTGACTCGATACTTGACTATATATATATATATATATTAATATATATTATATATTATATATATATATATATATATATATATATATATATATATATATATATATATATATATATATATATATATATATATATATATATATATATATATATATATATATATATATATATATATATATTGATAATTCACAACATTTTTTAGCTGTCATAGTGGTAACGTGACAGCGCATTTTTGCTGCACAAAAGTTATCAAAAGCATGCAGGTTGTCTTGAGGTGCGTCCAGGGGCTTTGAAACACTTTTTCAAGTAACCATGGAATAAATTCATTGGGAGAGCTTGTCGCCTCACGAATTCAACGCCGCAAAACTTTTAAGAATCCGTCCCGTGCGAGTGGAGTTACAAAGGTGTGTCGCATGCTGCAATTGCATTCTCTCTTCTCTCAGCCCGACGAAAGCGCTGGAAGCTAAGCAGGGAGGCATGGCAGGGCCACAGAAAAACGTCATGTGCGTCTTGCGACCTTGATCACTGTTTTATATTTTTTTTCTCCGAATGAGCGGCTTTCTCAGTGTGACTGCGCGCCACGGATGGATGGATGGATATGGCTGCACCCTTTAGATCGGGCGGTGGCTAGCGCCACCAAGCCGTAATACTTAATGAACCCAAAACTATATCTATTTTTTTTCTTAAAAAGTGAGTTTGAGGATTCGAACTTTGCTGTGAAGAGTTTAATTTTCACTCGTGCCTTGACTTTAGCCACCAATCAGATAACCTCCTTCTAGTTAAGTCTACTTGCTTAAAGTCTATTTTGCCCTCCCGGTCCCTAAACCCCAGTGCTTTCAAAAACTCTGCGCCATCATCCTGAACTATAGGGTGAAGCCCTTTACAGAACATTATCAAGTGTTCGGCAGTTTCTTCTTCCTTTCCCCACGCACTGCATACTGTGTCTACCCCTTCGTATTTGGCCCGATATGTCTTGGTTCGCAGTACTCCCGTCCTTGCCTCAAACAGTAGAGAACTACCCCGAGTATTATCATAGATCCTTTCCTTGGCAATTTCCTGCTTAAAAGTTTGATAGATCTCTAGTGCGGACTTCTTAATCATGCCCATTTTCCACATGTCAGTCTCCGTTTCCTTCACTTTCTTCTTAACCGATAGTTCTTTTCGGTTTGGCCACCTGCTGTTTTCTAAGTATTTACCAGTCAACTTTCTGGTTCGCTTCCTCCATATTGTATCGACATTCTTCAAGTACAAGTAGCTGAAAACCTTCCTAGCCCAACGCTCTTCCCCCATTTCTCTCAATCGCTTCTCAAATTTTATCTTGCTGCTAGCTTCCCTGCCCTCAAATGATGTCCATCTCATATCACCTTGTGCTCTCTGATTTGGTGTATTCCCGTGAGCTCCTAAAGCAAGCCTACCTATTCCATGTTGCTTAATTTCTAATCTTGCTTGAACTTCTGATCTCATGCACAAGACCGCATTGCCGAACGCGTGGAAGTGTATAGCGGCCTCCTGCGGCGATCTCTGTAACGAGCGAGCGCGCCATGTTCAAAACAGCCAATGGCTGATAGATGGGTTATTGACGTGTAATTTTTGGACATATAACGTGATTTGTCGAAAGAAGAGAAAGCAGCTTTTAGCTTACTTTGATACTTTATTGTGAATTCCAGCCCGCGTGCTGTGATATATTATTCGGTTCGCGTGTTGTCGGGAGCCTCTACTACCGATCAGCAGCGTTGTCTGACCATGTTAAAAAAGTGTTGCAGGGCCTTTTTAAACTCATAGGAGCGTCTTGACAATATCTGGCTGGACTGAACTCGTGATCGCCAATGGTTTTGTAGCCACTATTCTATGGGACAAGCAGATAAGTTTCTTACTGTCGGTTTCAGCGTGAGAACAAAAGTAAGCTGTGCCCACAGTGGTCACTGTCCCACCCAGGCAGAATTTGCATACCTGTTTCGTGTTTAGAAAAAAAAATATTTTATCATGGGGCGCTACTGACCCATGGAACCAGTGTCTATGCAACAAGCACAATTACAAACAAATGACTAAGCACAACACACATTACACCTTTAAAAAAAATATCCAAGTCTATAAGGTGCCCCTAACACATGTTACAGATGACTAACACAAATACATAAACCACGAAGTGCACAATGTACATGGTGTACAGAATTCACAAGATTTGGTGAAAATATTAGCAAATATGTACAAATGGCATCAAGATGCATGTAATTTACATAATTTACAGTGTTAGAATGGAGTGCACATGTACAAGAACCCACACGCATACAGGGCATACACAAACATTTAGAAATAATAAACACATACAGATTGCATGCACTAATCAGACACTGACAGATGTACTGGCTATAGGAACCAGGCCAGGTGGAAAACTAACCGAACACGTCCCTGCATCAACTACCGACAGCAAGTGGCATGACCATTTTCATAGAAGTTCTTCCTCCCCAAGGAAGAAGAATTTCTTCGACAGAACCAATAGAAGTTTGTAGTATAAGAGCTCCAGAATCAAAAAGAGATCACGAGGACGATGACCTCCTGCAACAACTTCGCACCTATTATGCCACAAACAAAAAGCTCCCGCAACTATTAGAAGGCGGGCAAAGCGACAACGTGAGGAGCGGCCAGGTGTTCCAAAGCGATTAACACCTACGTCAAGTAAACCTGTGTTACCGGCTTTCCACAACACCTTTGCAATGACACATTGCTGTGGTACGTGCTGGTTAGACTGATGTGACGGACAGTTAGGACAAGTGGAAGATGGAACTATGCTCCACTTCTCCAGTCTGTCCTGTGTTGGGAGTACTCTCCATCCGAGTTGCTACATAAAGTCACAGAGGTGACCAGGCAAAAAAGATGCCGTTATTGCGCTCCACGAGACATGTCTCGATCGTGCTGGAGGGAGTGGAAGAACCAGAGGGAACAGAAGAGCCGCAGTTGTATCTAAAATACGCCTTTCTACAAATTCCACATCGGGATCAACCTGTTGCGCGTAGCGATAAAATGCTACTGCCGTGGAGTAAAATGCAGGCACGGTAACTGCTTGCGGTGCAGAATTAAGCCGTGGATCCGGTATAGTGAATAGCATACCTTGGTGCCTAAAAAATAGCAGGCAAGATCATCCGCGGGACACTGATCACCGTGTAACAAGCGAAGTAAGAATCGCAGGGCAAGCAGCCGGCAGCGAGCAGGGGATGGGAATGCGAATCCACCACAGTTGCGTGGTTGCCTAAGTGCTGCTCGGCAAACCAGCTATTTACCACCTGTCAAGAAAAATGAGCCGAGGAGTGACTGCTACTACCTAGTTATTCGTAACGGTGGCTGTGCGGCATGAGATATGTACCATGCACGGCCGCAAAACGCAGCCTGTGCTAAATACCTTCTTTCCGGCATTGGTAAGTCGTACTCTTGTGCTTCCCGGACGCGTCGTTTTACGTCCTGGAACACCGAAACCCACATGGAGGCTGATATGCCGTAGCAAGTATAATCAAGCCCCCGAATGCGAATGGAGTCGTTTTTTTAAGACTGAAAAGAGGAAGTTGGGCAGGCGTCTGGAGAACCAATGAATAAATATTGACATTTTCAAAATTTTAACGCAGCAAGGCACTGGTAAGCCTCGAACGTATGGATCAGCAAGCAGCGAACGTAGGAAAGGCTCGAGGCTGAGTAACAAAAAATACAGGGAATAGGGGACAACCCCGACGAACACCACGAGTAACAGGAAATGGAGCAACCTCTAAACGTTCTAGAAACAACGTGCTGGGTATATTTCCGTGTGCGTGTCTCAGAAGCTCAATGAAGTTTTGCGAGAAGCGAAATGGTTCCTCGTAGCTTCATATCTGGCGTAATGGCCATTACGCCAAATATGAATGTACGAAGCGATCGAATGCCTTTTCTTGATCAAGTGAAACCAAGAGTCTCCGAGCTCATCTCGCAAACGAGTACCCAATTATATGACGCGTAACAAGGGAGAGACTGTGAATTTCTCTTCCAGAAATAGAGCA